AGCATTTTGCACCCCTTGCATGGTTTTCAGCAGCATTGTTCCAGTACATTTTGACTCCCTCCTGCTCTTCAAGAAAGGGAGCTATATTTCTCCAGAGATAAATGTGGGATATCATTCAAGGTCTGATAACAGTGATGACGCTGAAGCTTTTACAAAATTATAAATGGTTATCATTATTTGCTGTGGGAATAGTGTTCTTCTACCGTTCCTCTTCTCAGAAATAATTGGATTATTTATTCTTAAACTTTGAAAAAAAAATAATTACCATAGAACAGTAAAGCTACCTGAAAAACCTGGTAGATGATAGCTCCTGAAAGTTGTTAATGACTGAAATTAGGCAGTTTGGATGGAAACTTACACCGCAGTAACTAGAGTTTTCAGTCCCACTTGTTCTGTAATTGCAATACTATTCTCCAGATGATTCAGCAGTGCACTTACATAAATCATGGGCATACACCTGTATTAGCATATTCTTTTTCTGCTTAATCAATTCACTGTTTTCCTGCTGTGTGTAATGCTTATTCCCTATTGGAAGAGTCAGGAGACAGTTCCCTTTCCCAAAACATGCTAAATGTTCTGTAGGATGAAATAAAGACAAACAAATTTTGCCTGGAAACTGTCCTAGTTTTGAGTAGATCCCAAATAGCCTGCTAAACTGCTTTCCATATGACAGCCAAGTATTTGTCCAAGTATAATTTACTGCTCTACCAACACTGCTCTTTGCATTGTTAATGACAAGAAATATTGCAGGCTTTCTGTATCTGTCACAAAGAAGTAGCAAATTCCCAACATTAGATCCCCTTAGCAGATTTCCTTGGAGATTGCCACTGCACTAACTGCACTGAACCTCATAAACCACATTTTCCCACATGTGTTAGATTAACTGTAGATTGGGTTTACAGCACTCAGGGCTGAAGAACTATGTTTTGACTACTTTGTGGTAGACTGGGCCTTACGTTGTTCATGCATACATTAAGAAGCTGAGCTGTAGTTTAAATTTTCCTCACTCAGGAGGAGCCTCATGAAGTAATAGAACAAGTAGCAGTGTAAAAGCTAGAACCATAAACTCCTGAGATTAAGCTGGGTTACCTTCTCAAAAATAGTAGAGTAGCTATAGCCAAATAATCTTGTTTGAAGGTTTTTATTCTTTTTCTACAAACTTCTTCATCTTTTAATTTTTGTGGTAGCTCTTCAGTAGGCAGAGACTTAGTCTCAGTTTTCTTTTTTTTTTTTTTTCTTTCTGATAAAAGGAGATATCATAGCTAACTTAGAAATTTGATAAAGACATGGAGATTTCAGGTAAAAGGTATATTCCAAATATTCCAATTTTTTATGTGACGTTACCTGTAAAAGCAAGAGAATATTTTCGTATCCTATTTTGAGAGACAGAGGAAATTGAGCAGCTGATGAACAGAAATGCATTAGGAGACTAATGCTTTTTCTTTCTTAATATAGCTATTCAATTAACATGCTCCTCATTCATTTTAATTATGTGATTTTATTTTTTTTTTTTTATGTACTGCTATTTTATGTTTGTGTGAGCTGTTACAATTTTTAAATTGGTTATATTAAATGAAATATACCTCTATTGTTATACTGATCTGCACTATTCTTTATTTTGCTTGCACAATTCTATGGACTTGGATTTTCCTCTTGACAAAGAACTGAGATTTGGAGCTAACGACACCTGGCAAGACTTCCTCATTGATTTAAAACACTAAATTAGATTTCTAGTTCTGGCTCACATTGAGGCTAATACTGTTTTGCAGTGGCTTGCAGGTACCTGGCATCATCACAGGGAGAAGAAAATGTTGATAATTCCAAAGCAGTAACTGGATTTCTGAGTCTGTCACCAGCTCTGAGACCCTACAATAGGTGTCAGATAGAAAACAGGAGGACCAACACAATTCTCACAACCTTCTCCACAGCTGAGTCTCTGTTTGTCTCTTTCAATTCTATTTGGTGAAATTTTGTTCTAAATTAATTGTAGTGTCATAAATTTATGACGTTCTTACTCTTGTTAACTTGTCGAGGGTTCCAGACTCACATGGTTGAATAAAATAATGAAGAGTTTTTACATAGATAGGCAAAGAAAGTGAAGCTAAAATTTAAAAGGAGTTTAAAAATTATGAAATCACTTGAGTTTGCAATAATTATAGACCCCTAATAGCTAGTTAGTGATGTGCAGCTAATGAACATGACAAGTACATAAATTGTGGCACTGTGGAACTGAGAAAACAAATCCAGATTCCTGACCAGAAATTGTTTCAAGCCTCACTGCTGTTCATTTCAACATGCAGCACTATACTGGAACTAATCCAATAAAAACTCAGAGTTCACCTTCATCCTCCTTTTCCCTCAAGGATTTCTCTTTTGGCAGAATCTACTGTGTTCACACTCTGTTTTGCCACAGTTGTTCCCTTCTTTCAGATCCTTTGCTAAATTGGAAGGTGTTTCTCCTTCAGAACTGCAAAAGTATTTGTAACTAAAATTCAACCCAGACCCTGTGCTTGAAGAAATAAACAAAATCCTGGTGTTTGCCATGCAGTCCCAAACCTTCAGTTTTTCTCTTACTTTAGGGACTACCCTAGGTTTATTCCACTTTCTGATCATATACACTTTGGAGAAACCCACTCTGCAAAAGACACCTGTGTCAGCAGTACCTTCAACTCTCTTCCTGTTTCACAAAAAAAAAAAAAAATGTTCCTCTGCATGCTTGGCATAGGTTTACCTCAACATAATTAGAGATCCGAGTAACTTTCTCTTCTCCCTAGGATTATTCTGTATTGTTAGACTTTTACAGCCTAAAACTATATTAGCTTTTTCTATTTTTCTCCTGTTACATTACAGAAACCCACACTGAGAAAACCCCCTGGGCAGGTTATGAGGTACAGAACTGGGTCCTTCATGGAGGCAAAGATTTTTTTCCCACAGTGTCTTCAGAGACACCACTGAACAATCCCAGCTCCCGACTAACAGCTCCTGCAATGTGGGGGAGGGACCAAGAAGATAAGAGAGCCTCACTCTGGCATTTTCAGGACAGAAGCTGGAGAAGTTTTTGTAGGATACATATATATATATCATTCAAAATAATAATAATGTATATATTATTATTTTAATTTAAAATGAAACAAGGTTGTTTTCACTTAAAGGTAAAAAAAAAAAAAAAAAAAAAAAAACACAAAAAAACAGTAGAAATTTAAATTAACATACTGGGAGGTGGGAAGATGGCAGATGCAGAAGGACAACGCATACAAGGTGAAGAGTTGTGTATCCTCAGGTAAAGAAGAGAAGAGAAATTAAAAAAAATGAAAATAGTTAATGAGAAGGGACAATCTCAGTAAATGGATTCCCAGTTAGACAGTGGACTGAAAAATACAAATTTTGTATACAAATGCCAGAAGCCTAAGAAATGAGAAAAACTAGTCTCTTGTTTAAAACTGGCATATTGATATGCAAGCGTTCAAAAAATTCAATGTGAGGAAAATAATTAGAGGGACAAAGTAACAGAAAGGTGTAAACTATATGGGAAATAGACTCTAATGTAATTGATACTATATCTTAAGGGACTAGCCAAATCAAATAAATAGGCTTAGTGTCTCAGGTGACATTGAAACCCTGCTGGCTGCTCGAAATTTCCATTCTAATTAGGAAACATCTAGTAATATCCAACTAGGACAACAATGATTTCTGTGATCTGATCAGAGCAATCAACAAACCGAAAGGATGTGAAATGGAAGAATAACAGAGAAGGTCTGGTTACACTCCAGACAAAAGGATACATGTCACAACTGAGGATAATTCCTGAACTGATAATTCCTGAACTGATAATTCCTGACTATTCCACAACTGAGGATATTCCTGAACAAAAGGACTGGCCGGTCTTTGGAGCAACTAGTCAAGGAACAGGTAGAAAGAGATGCAATTAGTGGCTTGCTGAGCAACACCACAAAATTATTAATGTAAAGCTGTTTATAAAGTACTTTATAAACAGCCATTTTGCAGCCGTAGTAAGTCCCGTGTATCGTTTGTCTCCCTCACCCCTTACATCCCCACCCTCTGGCCTCTATAAGGCAATGTAATCATGAGGAAATATAGTTTCTTGAAAAAACAAAAACAAACAAACAAACAAACACAAAACAACAACAACAACAACAAAAACACAAAACAAAACAACAAAAAAAAAACAAGGGGCAAACACATGGTAGAACATTTTTATATGACATGGAAAATACATTAAGTAGTTAAAAAACATATAGAACATTCAGAGAAAATGTATATTACTTATGAAGAGATGTTAGAAAGACCAAAGAAATGAGAATAAATCTTCAAAGACCTCTGTTAACAAAAAAGATCACGTATTAGATGGATTTCCTTTATGAAGTGCTCGCCAAGTGCTTTCAAGGAAATAGCTCACATGAATTAAGGAGGAAGTTTCTGACCTGGTTAAATAGAAGAAAAAGCTAATAAAAAAATGTCTAGTTTTCCCAGTACAGTGAGGTTCTCAGCTACTGTTCCCCATTAGAACTGGAGATCCCCACTGCAACCATTCAGCATATTCACAGATGATCTGGAAACAAGAGAAGACAGTTGAGGTGGCTGGATTTATTAACAGTGCTAAGTTTTAAGGGGATATATAAAGAGGAGAACTGATTAAGAAAAGGTTTGGAACAGGCTGAAGACAGTGAATCACAATGTGATAAAATGATAAATAAAATCCAATATAAACAACTAAAATATATTTTTTCATAGCATCAACAACAACAAATACTAAATTAAGATGTCAGATGTTAACTTGACTAGCTACTGTTCAGGAAAGATAAGTCATAACTTGGAGATATGATAGCTGTATGAATGTGCCAACACAATGCTTAGCACTTTTCTAAAACAAATACAAATATGTTATTAGGAAAATTGTAAAAAAATAATAGAGAATAAAAAACAAATCATACCCTGCTGTGTAGGCTTACTATATTCAGTATTTTCCATTCTCCTTGCAGTTCTGCTGCTTTCATCTAGAAAGGATTTGGTAGAACTGGTAAAGATGCAAGAGTGATTAAAGTTGCTCACAGGATGGATTGAGAAGACTTGGACTTTGCAGCCTGGAAAAGAATTATTTAAGGTGAGCTCTGATGGAGGTCTATAAAAGATTGAATGGCATCAAAAAAGTCAATAGAATGTTCAATGTCACTTTTATTACAAGAACTTGGGCACATCAAATGAAAATAGCCAGTGGCAGTTCAAACAAAATGAAAGGAGCTTCTTCTTGATACAACATGTGTTTAGGAAGCAGACCATTTTGCTACAGAATATTGTGGTTGGTGTAACTATTTGGATTTCAAAAGCAAGTTAGCATATTGCACTGAAGACAAGTTATCTATATAAAGGATAAAGATATCCTCAAGAAGTCTATGAGTGACACATCTGGTGAGTCTGGGAGAAGATTTTAGGAAGGTATCATCTATTGATCCACCATTTTCCTATTCTGCAAGCATCTGATCCTCTGAGATGCAGGGTGTGAGACTAGATAGGCCTTTTGTCTGACATGGTGGTTACATCTGTGGTAGGAAATAGCCAAGGAGCATAGAATCATAGAATGGCTTAGGTTGCAAAGGATCTTAAAGATCCAACCCCTCTGCCATAAGCAGGGGTGCCACCCACTGGATCAGGTTGGCCAAAGTCCCGTCCAGCCTGGCCTTGAACATCTCCAGGTGTGGGGCATGCACAGTTTCTCTTGGCAACCTGTTCCAGGGTCTCACCACCTTATAGTGAAGAATTTCCTCCTAATGTCTAGTCTATATCTATCTTCTCTTAATTTAAGACCATTCTCCCTTGTTCTATCATTATCTACCCGAGTAAAGAGTCCTTCTCAATCTTTTTTATAAGACCCCTTTAAGGTCACAAAGAGGTCTCCCCGGAATCTTCTCTTCTCCAGGCTGAACAGCCCCAACTCTCTCAGCCTGTCTTCACAGGAGAGGTGCTTTGACCCTCTGATCATCTTTGTAATCCTCCTCTGGACTCATTCTAACAGGTCCACATTCTTTCTTCCTTCTTTCTTTCTTTCTTTTTCTTTCTTTCTTTCTTTCTTTTTCTTCTTTTTCTTTCTTTCTTTCGTTCTTTTTTCTTTCTTTCTGTTTCCTTCGTTTCGTTTCTTTCTTATTTCTTCTTTCTCTTTATTCTTTCTTTCTTTCCTTCTTTCTTTCTTTCTTTCTTTCTTTCTTTCTTCTTTCTTTCTTCTTTCTTTCTTTCTTTCTTTCTTTCTTTCTTTCTTTCTTTCTTTCTTTCTTTCTTTCTTTCTTTCTGTGCTGGGGGAAAAAACAAGCAAACAAGCATAGACTTGCCAGGACATAGCAAAACTGGCCTATAGGTTTCTACATTATGTAAGAGTTTTGGTCCTTGAGAAACAGGATGTTCCAGACAATGTTCAGTTCAGAGGACAGGAAAGACTATCAAGGAATAAGAAATCTGAGCATACAGTTGCAAGCTCTTCTATACCAGTTTTGTTTCATTTTCTGGTACATATATGGCTTAGATTGTCTCTGGGACTTGTCTGCCTGAACTTGGCTTGCTCAATCTGATTTGGTGCTAATGAAGATTTATAAGATCTGACACCAAATAACTTTTTTTTTTTTTTTAATTTAATTTTCATTTTAGAGACATTAAAAATACTGTCTTACATTTACATTATTCAGATCTTTTCCATTTACATTATTCAGATCTTTTCCTGGAGTTTTTTTTTTTTATTGTTATTGTTTTGTTTGCTTGGTGGTAGTGGTTGTTTGTTTGTTTGCTTGTTTTTTGGACAGGGATGGCAGGGGGAAGGAAAGAGGGGACAAACATCCTAAGGCTTCTGTCCATTTGGAAAACTGGGAGAGGAACTCTATCAACAGAAAACAAATGCTGTCACATAGACACAGTATTGTCATGCAGAAGAAAACAAAATCAGCTCAGCTGTCAGCATGTCCTTGTTTGGCTAAGTTCCAGTCCTTGCAGCAGAAATTTGAGTAAGAAATTCAAGTTTTACCTATAAGTATTGAATATAATTAAATTCAAAAGTCAATATGGGTTCATCTACTATATTTAAGTTTTCAAGACACATGTTCAAAATATTAAAGCAATTTTCTTATTTTTTACAATGTTTGTTTCTTAGTATCTCTGCTTAATATTTCAAAATTCTCAGAGAAACTCTGGTCTAATTATTATTTCTGACATTTGGGCAGGGTAGAGAGGTTGTTGGCTTTTTCTGATACCTTTGCCTAAATGTCTGGTGAATTCATGTTTTCTTTTTTATGTTCTACAGCTACACCTTTAAAATTTAGATGTAATTCTAAGTCTATGCAAGCTCATCTTTTAGAGAGTGTGTCATTATGTTCATACAACTGTCATTACATTCATACAACAAGTAAAATATCTTCTGTTTTCTGAAAATAAAATCCATAAAATTACTCTTCTGATATTTATAAATCATTATATTGGTTTAGTTGTAAACATTCAGTAATTGAGAGTTTATGCTGAAAAGGGAAGCACAATGACTGCAAAAAGTAATACAGAAGAAAAGAAGAAATATACATCAGAGGTGTTCCTAGAGCAATTTTGGATTTTTTTTTCTGCATACTGATTTAAATATCTTTATACAATAATTAAATAATTCAAAAAAAAATATAATTAAGTCATTATAGTAAAGTCTACCACAGAAAGAGTCAGATGGTGAAGATGTATGGGGTGACCAATCTGCAAAAAATGTAAAATATATTTAATCTCAGAAGCTGTTCCAGAAGCTGCACAACAATTGCAAAAATAAATAAATAAATAAATAAAATAGAAAAAGAATGAGAAAAAGAAAAAGAAATAGAAATAGAAAAAGAAAAAAAAGGAAAGGAAAAACAAAAGGAAAAGGAAAAAGGAAAAGAAAAAGAAATAAAGAAAAAGAAAAGGAAAAGGAAAAAGGAAAAGAAAAAGAAAAAGAAAAAGAAAAAGAAAAAGAAAAAAAAAAAAAAAAAAAAAAAAAAAAGAAAAAAAAAAAAAAAAAAGAGGAAAAGAGAAAGAAAAGAAAAAAGAGAAAAGAGGAAAACGAAAGAAAAGAAAGAAAAAAAAGAAAAAGGAAAGGACAAGGAAAAAGAAAATCACTGCTATCTTGTGAATATATTAAAAACAGAAGGGTTACACAGATTATTCAGAGATGTATCAATGATGTTTTCTCCAAAGTATTGTGAATCTATGTTAATATTTTTTTCTAAGAAAAAGATATTTCATAGTAAATACACTTGACTTTTTACTGAGAAAATGATTTAATAAGGGATGCAATATAAGGATCCAATGTAAGAGGACAGTGACTTAGCTCCCATTCTTTATCTAAAACTATTCCATTGCTGGCCTAAATAGGCTAATGTAAATAAAACCACATGATTCCATTCAAAAACCTAAACCTTTCATACAAACTGGCAAGACGTCAATGTATCTGTAGCTGTGTAACTGGTACTAGACACTGGCTTGCAGAGTTCATGTTCTGTCTGCCCTTTCAGTTGAATGAACATGCACAAATGTCAAAAGAAATAAAAATGGGCTCATTGCTAACAGTGATTATGTTGTCTCATCTTTACACTGTACACCATAAAGTAACTCTCATTATTTACCTTTCTCAGAAGAATTGTCTTTCATTTAAAATTTATATTTAAAGAGTACATGGACCTTTTAAACATTCCTCCATTTCCAGTGTGTCATGTCTGTCTTAAGTCTGTATATACCAGTTAATCCTGACTCCCACAACAAAAGGACAAGTAAAAAAAGAATCTGACAAGTAAAAGGTACAACCCTATAGCCCTATTCATACCCATGAGCCAAACCCAGATAACAGCAATGATTTGTGCTTCCAGACTCATATGTCTGTGTCACCCTGCTGAGGCAGACAGCGGACTTAGAAGAGCAAGCTTTTAAATCTTGGCTGAAAATACCAAGCTCAAGTGTTTGGTTAGAGGCTTACATGCCTGCGATATCCTTTTGGCCAGCTCACATAGCACAATTCCTTTTATGAAAAGTCGGTCAGGTTTAATGCTGCGGGGAAAGCCCCTTTCCCAGGTATAAGTTTGTGATAACAGCTCCCATCCATCTCCAGGTCAGTGAACTTTCATCCCGTCCCCAGAGTGTCCAACAGTGCTGAACCTGAGAGCCATTGCTCAGTTCAGTTCCAAGAGGCTTTGTATTTCCATATGGAAAGACATGGCTGAACCAGTAATATAAACATATAGATATTCTGTAGATATACATATAGGGCCCACAACAGCAAAGGTGATGATTCAAAGTGTCATATGATGAAGGGATACTAATTTTGTGTCTGTGTGGATTATTTTAAGGTTGTTCCTTTTGTGATAAAATACTAGGCTGATTAATTTATATCATTCTGAATGTTGTATTGTTAGAAGATGTAATTAAGTGGTATATATATGAGAATGGCCACATCATGGCTTCTTCACAGAGAGCTCTATTAAACTTTAACACTATGGATAGACTAATAGGCATACTATTTACTGTCACTGCTACTTAATGGGAGTTTTTGAGCATTTTATCTGGAACTGAGGTCACTGGTTTATATTCTGTTGGCTTTTGGCTTATGCCAATAACTCTGTTTTAATGTGTGCATCTACTAATGGATACAGTTACTGGTCTATTTTCCACTGAAGTCATTAGAAATCTTTTCAGCAACTTCAGTAGGAGTTATATGAGAGGAAAAATGAAGACTAGTAGTAGACTAGTGCAATATTCCATTCTTGAATTAAATTCTGTGTGTGTGTGTGTGTGTGTGTGTGCACTACTATTGTATTTCTTTACTTTCTAATGTAGACTATTAACTTCTGTTACAAGATTTAGGCTCTGATAAATAGCTTAATAGATCTGTTATTTTATAAACCATTCTGAGGTCATTTGAAGGTATTTTATGGGAAAACTTTGAAATGTAGTTTGAGCTTTTATTTTTCACTATTTATATGCTAATTCCTATGACAAAGCATCCTGGCATCTTTATATTTACAATTCCTTTCATAATTTTACATGTATTCCAAAAATTAATGTACAGCTATTTAAAATAAGTGAGCTACTGCAATGCCTTCTATTAAAGAAGAATGACTTAAAAATGAACAGTTTTTTGTCTTTGAAATTTAGCTCATCCCTTTAAGATGTTTACTGCAGAATAACATTAGTTTGCTTCTTGTTCTTAAGACATTTGACAATACTAAACTTGGCTCACTTGTGCTGTACAAAAGTCAACAAACTATTTCTGTGTAAGTATGTATGTCATCTGTGTTATTATCAAATGTCACAGTTTTATTATGATTGATGTTATTGCAATAAATACATAAACAACCCCTGCCTCTTTGTTTTAATGAATTACTGAAATTTTTGTGAATTAGCACTTCCTAATCTTGGTTCTAAATACTGTTTTCTGACTAGATCAATATCACATCCCTGTGGCAATTAATCATGTGCACAATGTTTTCCTTAAAGAAGAAATATAATCTTTTTATATCCACCAGAAAATACACTCTCTGGGACAGGATTTGGAGTCCAGCCAAGTTGAATGGTACAGAGGGAATTGTTTGTTATGGATGGTAAGACACTCTTCTTAGAGCTTCTCAATACATAAATCTACTGCGAATTAAAAATGTCTGGATTTCTTAATGCAAATATCTGTTTATTCAGATGTTCATCTTAAGAAGATAATCACCTTGATTTTGAATATTTTTTCCTAAGCCATAAAAATATAAGTAACATTTTCTATTTTATTTGTTTTTGTTTGTTTGTTTGTTTGTTTGTTTGTTTTTATTTTGAAATATGCATATATATATGCCTAACCTTGAGTTTAACCTGCAGCTTTAAAAAATTTATTTTTATGTCAGCAACATACTGAGTTTGAAAAAGTCCATAGGGTAATAGAAAATGTATAGTGGTGATAAGCAGTAATTTCACAGTTAACTGATCATGATGTTACAAGATGCAATGCACCCTCCTAATCTTTTCTCACCCTTTCTCTCTCTGTCTCTTTCTCTCTCTTCTCTCACTCTCTCTCTCTCTCTTTTTTTTTTTTTTTTCCCCAGTCTAATTTGTATTGCCTGGTAGTTTTATACAAACTAATGAAATGAAGAAATAAAAAATGTGACAGTGAAAATGCCTGGTCTGGATTTCTGTTTGTGGTCAGGTACGCAGTATACTCACAATAGAGGATGTACCCTTCTGAACTGAATCTAACTCATCTCTAACAACATACATGTTGGGTACATCACCTGTCTTGAGATGCAGGGTGATAAACTCCCATGCTCTCAGGGAACTTCAAGGTAAAATGTTTCATTTCACATTTTAAATTTCCTAGGACTATGGACACTCTCAGTTGCCACAGCTCAGTTGCTGAGGAGCTCCTTGTTATGCCACTGTAACATTAGCATTTCCATTCAACTATACATATCTCAAGTCTCAGGAAGAGGTGAATCAAATTTTTATATGTCTGGATTCCTTGTCTTACTATAAATGAACAACAACAAAAACAACTACAACAAAAGAATATTTTCATTTCTGAGAGCAAATTAGTTTGCGCTTGATGAAATTCTGAATTTGCTGGTTTCCTTTTGAACATCAGGCAAGCAAGATGGCCTCTTTTTTCAAAACAAGACTTGGAGAAGGATGTCTTAGGAAAAGTCAGGTAAAGATTGACTCCAATTGAATGGAATGAGTAGAATTTCCTCAATTCAATTTAACAAATTTTAGATCATGGCCTAATTCAAAAAGCTGGGCAAATGTTATAAGACTTTTCTTATCATGAGGGAAAACATGTCCAAGAAAGTATAGAGCAGGTCAAAACCTATAGACCTTCCTTTCTAGTATCTGTATAGCTGAACATTCTCTAAATTGTCCATCGGTTCCTGAACTTTTTTAATTAGCTTTGCACAGAACTTATTATTTTGATTTTTTTTTTTTGTGAGACTTTTCATTAGTTTAGTTTAATTGTCTTAACTTCAAA